ACCAATACAATGCATACAACGGAGACTAAGGCTAGCATTTTCTTATGTTTCAAACAGTTTATGAAGGCTACATATACAGAGGTTTCTTAAGTTCTAAACAAGCATTCAACTTGTTCAAAGGTTTTATTCAAAAGAAAAACTGTTGCTTTGTTTAAACTAATAAATAGTAAATAAACTGAATTTAATTTCCATATTTTCCTTTTGAAGACAAATCTTTCACAACAGTCATTTCAAGTAGAATTTTTTATAACTTGAGAGATTTGTTGCAACTTAGATCTTGCCCTTACTACTGGTTACTGAGTTAAAACACACACACACACACACACACACACACACACACACACACACACACACACACACACACACACACACACACACACACACACACACACATCAAGCAAAAACTCATTTTGGGTCTTACAGAGGAATTCTTGCAGCATTATAGCTTTCCTGCAGTTTCTTTTAATTCATTAAAAAACTAATAAATACTAATTTATGAAAACATTGTGGGAAATAATCAGCAATATGAACACTACATATACCAGTTCCAAATAAAGTTGATATTAATAGTTATGAGTCATTGCTTTGAATTAGAAAGCAATAAAAATAATCTACTCATGTTAACACACTGAGAATGCTAATATTGCCAGCGTGTACTTCTCGTACTACATATACCAAACCCATGTACTGCATGTATTTTCTCTTTTTTGTCCCCCTTTTTCAACTCCAGCTTGGTATTACCCACTGAATGAAGGCAGATCCCATTAGTGCCATATCAATTATTTTTTTTCTCACAATTTCTCAAACAGAATTGTTGTGGCATGGCCAGAATATGCAGCGATGCCAAAAGCAGGCTTGTGGTGGACACTTGCACCCATCATTAAAATACCCCTGCAGTGTGCTTCTGTGTCAAGCCACACCAACCCCCTCAACCGCCCCCCCCCACCCCCAAAAAAAGCCACTCCAGCCACTGTTGACCCAATAAGTAGAAAAAAGAACTAAGGAAGAGAATATAATGGAGGTTTTCTCAGAGAAAAACAAGCTTTCGGTGCTTGCGCTGGCTAAAACATCGTTAATGTTTTTAAACGTTTTTGTTAATTGTTGTGGCACAACAGAGGAAAGACCAATACTCAATACGAAATCGAAGATTCACATGATTACCAACCGTCTGTTACATGAACTATTGATTAATTCTGAATGCTCCATAAGAAGGGGACCCACAGACCACCTGGCAGTGGTGACTCCTGCAGGCTGGGCCTCCAGGTCCCTGTATTGCTGGTGCAGCTATGGAATAAAGGATTCTCACCCTGTACTGGTTTGAGAGTTGTTTTTCCTTCCGGTCTGGATTCCTGGTCAATTTCCACATCATAATCATCACTAAATGTACTTTTTTTGTCTTCACCTCAGTCTGTGTATGCAGTATATTTGGAAGCACTGACTTCCACTGATCTCTAAATACTAGATGTTAAGCACAAATGTTCTCTTTTTCAACTTGCCCTGGCATAAATGTTTGTTTTTATTTTTAGCTAACTACCTTTCCCCGATGGCTCATCACAGACACATTCTCTGTAATACCTTTTTTTTCTATTCCATTAACAGTATATGGCACATACACTATTTCTGTTACTGGACAGAGGATTACAAAAAACAGACAGACTCTTATCCACTTTTACCAGATAATAATTAATCATCAACGGGCCATCAATGTCTATGAAAATAGCTTTTGGATGGTTATACTCAATTAGGCACCCAGTGTGATTCAACCCAGACTGCTACTGCTGTTTCAAGTGCTTTCCCCCCTCAACATCTTCAAACTCTGTTTTAATTTAAAACATTTTTTTTGGAACATCAAAGCCCAGGTTTCATGCTTTCATACCTCCGGCCTTCTGACCCTATGACAAATAAGCCTGCAAACTTTCAATGGAAGCGCTTGCCAAATTTGTCTCTTCCAGCTGATCTCCCTCCAGCAGAAGGCCGGTTATGAGGTAAGGCAGTAACTCTGTCGGTTTGAAGGGGTGAGAGCTCAAGCGCTGAACCCTTCCTTAGCTTTGTCATCATTATGGGCTGTGTTTGCCCAATGTCACCAGAAAAGCAATTTGCACAATGTGGGGCTGAAAATCGTTCCCTCGTGTACCAAATGTCACACAGCAGTGCTTGCCCTAAAAGCTATTTCCTCCTTGCTTCATGAACATCGTATGGTTGCACGGATGGTCTATGAGGCACGATGGTGCGTCTGCAGTAGGGAGACTTATAATATTATGGTGCTGTGTGTTTCTTACAGTGCAGGACTGACAGAGCACCGGGATGAGTGACTGGCCAACATACCATGAGTGAGTGTGTGTGTGTGTGTGTGTGTGTGTGTGTGTGTGTGTGTGTGTGTGTATGGGGGGGGGGGCAGGTTGTCTGTGAGTGTGTGTGTGTATGGGGGAGTGGTCTGTGAGTGTGTGTTGGTCTGCATGTGTGTGAGTGTGAGAGAGACATAGAGAAGGAGAAAGACAGAGAGGGAGAGCACTCCAGACCCAGCACAGATTGAAGGGCTGTCACAGAAGGGAAAAGACTGTCAGGCATAGGTTTTTCCACACATCCTTATCCCAGTTCAGCTGGGGATGATTCTGATTGGTCCTCCCTGAGCAGTAAACAGTCTTTACATTTTCGGTCTTTATCAGACACCCTTATCCAGACTTACAGCTTACATTCTATGCACTATCCCTTTATTCAGCTGGATACTTACTAAAGCAATTCATGCCAAATCACCTTGCCCAAGGGTACTTTGTGTTACCAGTCCAGCTCCCTAAGCACTCCACTACACCTCCACCCACCCTGGGGCGACAGAGAAGTATGAGAGAACATCCCATAGTAAATAGTCTCATTCCCATTTGAAGGAGATAATAAATAATGCTTTGCTAGCAGTACAAACACTAATCCAGCGTTACCTGCATGCACCAGCTTACTGTCACCAATTAAGACAGAAAGACTACACTTTCTCTCTGAGTTAAGCTGTGCGTATCACACTATGCTCCTCACTTTGATGTTATGAATGCTGCATTACAGTTCTCATAGCTACTTTACTTATGTATACATTATCATTCCTAGCTCAACATATCTGCCAGTAACAGGTTACAGATTATTATACATATTTAACATGGGTTTAACGAGGCTGCATCTAATTATTATTTATGTAATGTATGCATGTAATATTAATGTTCTCTACAAAATAAATAAAATACAAATTCCCTATTCATAGACAGATAATTCACCCCATTCTAGGGAAAAGGACTAGCTGAAAGAGAGGCTACATTTTCATTAGAGCAATGATAACAAAAATATGACACTGTTTTCATGGAGAATGGACCCTGGATACATGGATACTTACACTGCTAAATAATAAGAAAGTATAAAAGACTCAAATCCCAGAAAAACTCCAGGAGGTTTTGAATTATCAGGTGAAGTGCACTTGAATCAATATAAAATATCTACTTGGCTTGAATTACAAAATGATTAATGGTATGCATATCTCTAATAATTTCATAATTATATGAAATGCACTAAATATTACATTTGCTCTTGAACAGAACAGAAATATTCCACTTGGGTCTATGAGATCCAGTTATCTGGTTATACTTCTGTTCACCATGTAAAAGATTGGAGTTCTGAGGATACCACACACAATAAATATTTTATTATGCTCCATTTTCTTTGGCAAACTGAATTACTGTAGCAGCTCATGACTGACGATTCCATTAAAAACAATGCTGACAACTTTCCCCCCTCATACTCTAAAACCAAATTCACACAAATTCCACAGGGATCCTCAGTCACCGCATTACAGCTGGTCTAAGCTCCTTTCTCAGTCAAACACAGCACACTTCTTTTAAATACAGCGCACATGATAAAGTCTACATTTTTGCTGTAGTCTTGGCTTATTTGCAAATGAATTGGCATACAACTTAACAATACAGCGTATACATTATTATAGCAAATATTTGTGTGCTGCATCCCTCATGCAGGGCAACTTGCACAGGTTGCACCATTCATTCTAATTGCTTGCTATTCACTGAAGCAATAAGGTGACAGCAAACGACCTTGCGCTGGGGGTAAAGGTCAGGAGCCCATCCAATATTCAAACTAACAACCTTCCAGCTACAAGGACTGCACCCTAAGAACAATAATAAACCTATAGCCATATGGCGGGATGTGTACCTCTGAATGACAGTAGGGATTTGAACATGCAATGCAAACTTCTCTGAACACTGCACCATGTGGAAAGGAAGAGGTACACCACAGTATTAAAAAAAAAGATTTAAAAGAGTTTCACTTTCTAAGGGAGCTTGTGAAAATGTGTTAATGGTCATCATAAAAATCTTTGCTTTAATCTCAGGTAAGTGGAATTTTAATCATATTTAACTCATAAAGATAGAATAATCAAAGATAACAGACCAATTTCATTTACCTCCATGGCGCAGAAGTTTAATGAGGAGAGGTCAACAGTAAAAGTTAATGTGATGCAACATGCTTCACAGAAGAGCTCTTCTGCCTGCTTAATTTTATTATTCTGCTCCTAATGAACAAAACTGCGCTGAATCGCCTAAACCATCAAATGCTTCATAACATCTCCCTGCCATTTTAACTGAAACTACTGAATGGATAGCAAAATCCAATATTGTTGCTCCGGCAACAGTATTGCCCTGTATTCATAAAGCATCCAAAAACAGGACCACTGATCGAGGATCAGGATTTCCATGTCCATATCATGAATTTATCTATTATGAGTTAAAAGGCTAAACTGATCCTAGATCAGAGCTGCTACTCTGCTTCGTGAATACAGGCCATTTTATTTAAGACCCACCGTCTAGACTTGATTAAACATTTGGAAAACCTTCTTCATTAACTGCTCTGAGGAGACTGGCAGCAGGAATAACGGCCACCAGTGCACCTCCAGCTAAACTTTATGCAACCTGTGTATGATTCAAAATATACCTGGCAGTGCAACATGATCTGGGTAGCCTGTAGTCTAGTGGCTATGATGCATGACTTGGACTCTTGAGGTTGGTGGCTCAAGCCCCAGTCCAGCCAGAAACCCACTAGTGCCCTGAGCAAGGCCCTCATTGCCCCACATTGCTCCCAGGGGTGACTGGCCCCTGGTTAGCTTAATCATCTGTAAGTTGCTTTGGATAAAAATGTCAGCTAAATGACAGCTTTATATATATAATGACCTTCACTGATTCTGTGTTGTTTATTCTTTGTAGTAACGACCCATTTTTGACAAGGCTGCTACAGCCAGTATAATGCCACTGGTAACCATGCAAGGGTTAAAAATATAGGATAGTAAAGCTACGGAAAGGTGAGTCTTCCATCTGAGTGGTTTTTGCACAGTGCAGTAAACCGCGTCAGATCTAGCCCCTCTCTTTACCAACACAGGCGAGTGGAACATTTCTCTCAATACATAATTTCTCCATCTGTCTAATTTGAATAACACATTTTCACAGAGAGTGACTGAAGGGTACGACTGCCCTGAGAATTTCACATCTGTTACCTATACAGTGAAGGAGAACAGGCCAGCTGGAAAGACAGTAGCATTTTAACACCAAACAGTGCCAAAGTACAAAACCGTTAGCTGACAGAGTCGTTTATTTTTTTTATTTTTTTTTAAAGCCACAAACATCTCAGATGGGGAAACTGTGTAAATCCCAAAGAGCCAGGCGGAGAGAGAGGCACACATTTACATACATATCTGAGCGGTGCACAGCTCGGCTATATCCGGCCTTTCACACACTGCTATACCTCACACTGGAATTACCACTCTTCCAAACCCAGTGGGAAAAGAAGAGAGACCAAATAAAAATGCCTGTCATTTTCCTCATCCCCTCACAAAAGAGGCCGTAATACCACAGTGTCCATTATGTTTTTTTTTCGTTCTTGAGAAACAATGACAACAATAACAAAAAGAAATCTGTTGTACAAGTAGTTTCACACAAATGGAAAATCCTCTAAAGCTGCTTGTCTCTTTGGCGACTTCCTTTTTTCCCCTTGCATGCTGACAATGATACCACAGTGTCAGGACAGAGGTTATGGTTTGTCCATTAGGCATTTTGGTCACCAGGGAAATCAGTAAAGCCAGCCCAGTGGAGATGAAAGCCCATAAGCATTCTCCATGGCAAACAAGCAAGCTGACAGAGAGAAATTCGCCAGCTCCAGGTGTTCATTTGCAAATTAATGTTTTCATGTTAAACACCCAATATATGTTCATGTTGTTTCATTATGTAATTACCTATTACCTTATTTAAGGCCGCAGATGTTTGTTCACAAAAGTTAAAAAACAAGAACAAAAAAGGAAGAACCCAAATGTCTGCAATTTTTGATAAGGGACAAATAGTCCTTATAATATTATTTAAATTGACAGCATGAGTAAAAAAAAAAAAAAAAAAAAAGAATATCAAAAAAATGCTGATACAGCATAAATGTAATCCGTACCCAAACATGTAATGTAATGCAATTAATTTTTTTCAAATCTTTTCCATGGTGGGAGGATTAATGCATACAATATTTTTCACCCCCAACTGTGAATCTTTAATGACGTTTGGTTCATTGTGAGTGTAAGATAAAGTTCTACCAACCATGTCCGATAGGAACAGAAGCACGTTCTCCAGCATCACCACAATCTCTTGAGATTAAATCAAGTCGACATAAATGAATTATGCAGAACTCTGCCATATCAGTTTAAGATGTAGGTTTCCATAGCGTGTATCTGTAAGGAGCACACCATGTTGCTGGGCCACAGTGCTTATTCCTTAATACTGGTCAACAGCAGTGCCTAGCCTACCAACAAGGGTAAGGCTGGAGGGTGGAGCAACAGTGCCCACATTAGTTTAGCATTTCATCTTACGAAGCAAGTGAGCTTCACAAATAGAACTACTGCTATTTTGAGCTATGCCGGTTTGGATAGACACAGTTTAGTTGACTTATCCATTTTCTTCTGTCCTTGGCTCAGGTAATAAATAGTCTGTACTGTGTGCTGGAGTCTTGGCTCATTGAGGCAGCTTATTAAAGTCTTGATTTCATAGCTATGCACAGTAACCTTTAGTTGGAACTCTCACCTACTGAGTTTTTATATGCTGGCTTTGTTCTCCATGCACAGAAACACAGTAACATTAGTAAAGTCATTATCTTCCACTCGTATACCTCTTACACATGCTCACAGCTCAATAGCCATATCGTTTTTAATTAATGATTCCTTGGCCATGAACATAAGAAAGTGATAGTGGGGGAAATAACAAGCACTAATCCTCTTCTCTTGATTAGCCAAATTAAAGCACAAAGTCACAACCTACATGTCTTCTGTTTCTGAATAATGCAGGGAAACTACTCTATATCCCTGCAGACTGAACATACTCACTACCGGCTATTGACGCTCTCATGCTGTTTTATGTTCTGTTTGTATATTCTATAGATATAAATGTTTGTTAACCGTAATTGCTCTATTCTGACTTGCTCAGGTCTCTCTCAAAAAACAGCTGTAATTTGAGTGGGACTACCTGGTAGAATAAAGGATAAATAAAAGCAAAAAAATAATTCTATCCCTCTCACCGGGCCTTATTTACCAAATATTTTTATCAGACACATTCTCTCTCTCAGGGTTATAAAACATGAAATGCAAATCTAAAATAAAAATGAAGATTATAAATAGAATGTATTCATAGTGGAAAAAAAAATCCAGGACTCATCTTAATACTTTGAGAAAAACAATCAAATTTGCACATGTGTAAATGCTTGAAAGATACCCTGTCTTTACACTGAGGGCCAGCTACTGCCTCAGCTACACAGTCTGCCATGCTATGACATACGAGAACCATTTCTGCTGGTAAATTGACCTTCACATTGATACTATGGTAAAAACTAGAGAAAGAGCAAACTGCAACATTTTTGCAACAGCATGGCAGCCTCACCCAGTCTCAAGATCCAGATTTGTTCAGGATGGATGTTCAATGGAAGCCCTGGGTGTCTAATAATGCTAAAAATTAAAAATTATTTACCATATATTATATGGATCAGATACCCACATGAGTGCGGTAACAGCTGGCTCAGGCTAACTGGAAAGTAAGTCAGTTGCACTCATAACTGTAAAGCAAGCTCGACCGGCTGCAGGTTTGAGATCACTCCGCGTTCCTCCGACGGCACGGGCGGTATGTGACTGTTGATCTGTCTGCAATATGAAAAAGATGAATCTTGGGTGTGGCTATTTGCTCCTTAGTCTGTGGGGGAGATTTGCAGTGGGTTGAATTACGGCTGGATGGAATAAGGGAGAATAAATGAGTACCTGGGAAACTCTGGTAATAGAAGTCCCACCCCCCCGAGTCTATCTAATACAGAAGGAAGGGAAATAAAATGTTCAATAAAGCAAAGTGGAAAAAGTGTTATTAATGACATAGTTTAAGCCGGAAATAGAGTGAAGAAATACTGGGCAGTTATACACTCAGAATTAGGTTATATTTACCCAATCATGCCGGGGACCCGATTGCCAAGATTTATGGTAAGTGTAACCGAGGTTGCACACTGCGGCAAGTCATCTACAAGGCAAATCCTTTTTTCATTAACAGCACGCGAGATATACATCGGCAGCACAATTCTAAACAATAGTGTGAGGCTTACGCCCAACACAAACCTTGCTTTGTTTTTTTTTTTTTTTTTTTTTGCCCTACTGATTTTTTCCACACGAACATAAATTGCACATTATTTCAGACAGCTCATCAGTATGCGATGAGAGGAACACCTGCTGTTACGGTGTACACTCCAGAGTTTCATTTGATTGCTAATGTTCCCTTGGAGACCTGCTGCTAAAGAGTGAGGGAAAGTAATGAGACGTGCCTGGGAGATGGAATGGCGGGCCGGGTGGATGAGAGTCGAGCGGGGTTTCTGGAACAGACCGTCTGCAGAGAGGAGGGACGGGACAGGAGGAGGAAGAAGGAGCTGGAGACGGAGCCAGAGCCAGAGCTGAGCTCCCAGCCCGGAGAGTTATTGCTTTTATTTTAGGGCTTCTCTGGTGTTCGGCCCCCGATAAATTGCGGTGCTCAATATTGTAGCAGGGAGGTGTCAGAAATGAAGAGTGAACCTGGCAGAGAATTTGTTTTCCATTTCTTAAGGACTGTGCCATTCCCAGGGAGCATTGATTGCACTCTGTATAAGATGAGATACTAGAACCTGTGTAATATATACACACCCACACTCACAAACACCCACACACTCACACACTGTGGCGGTAGAATCCACCCTCTCTAAACAGCATATTAACCAAACTTGGAAAAAAAAAAAACTCATCTTTGTTGCTATGTAGCAAAAATGGTATGTGTAGCGGAATAGATTGCAGATGTGGAAATTTGGATGTAATCATGATGAATCTGGTGTGTTTCTGTGGCTCAGGCTGTCCTGGTTTGCTGGTGTGCCATTGATGCACAAGAAGGCATCACTCTGTATTGTGCAAAAGGACACGATCAGAGGTAGAGGAATCGTATAAGGGGCCGCGCTGCAGTAGATATGGCTTTCATAGTACATATTAACAGATAGTGCCCAACCAATCACTGATAAAGAAATGACATTAACACACATTACACTTCAATTTGTCTCAATACTGCCCTCGCACTTCTACAAGGTCAGTAAAATCCGGCCAAATGACATATGCATATATGGCTGGTCAATTAATTATATATTAATTGTAATTTGTGAGAAGATATTATTATTTTATAAAGACGAACGCCCTCTACTTAGCATAGCTGCCGCATCAAATGTAGTTCTGTTGATTAGCTAATGGTTTCTCGATGACACTATTGCACTCATAAGCTGTTGTGATGATAAATTAATGCATAAATGACCACATTCAGACTGGAAATATTCTTATGTTGATTCAGATGTTTGTAAAAGTTCAATAAAATGATTTGACCCTAATTATCGTGTTTCTTTGCTTTTTGTTTTCAGTTGTCAAAACAACTGAAACCTATTATCTCTGTCTCATGATCCCAATATCACAATCAATTGTTGTAATCATATAGCTGAGAAAAACAATGCAATTAGCTTTTTGT